ATTTGTATATTTTTGCAATATCTGAATTAGTTTCGATATATTTAACATTACTAAAAGAAATGTTAGTATAATTATGTTAAAATTGTGGACTAATTGTATTTTTTTTTTCAAACTTGAGGAAGGTCGGTGTAATTTTTCTTTTCTTTTTTTAGGTTTTTAATGAACTTTTTTTTTAAAAAAATTATTCTACATTAGACCGGAAAAAAAAAAAATTGACACAAATTAAAAATAATAATAATAAGATAAAAAAATTCAAAAATAAAATGTGTATTTTTTTAGTTGTAAGCCAAACGTGGCCTAAAGCTATCGTACATCAGTTGTTGATTTGGAAATTCTCCACCCTAGTGTCTGTTAATGACGTATGTGCGATTTATTATTATTTTTTTTTTAAAAAAATACTCGTATCTCAATTAATTCATAATAATTCTTTATTTTATTTTAATAAATAGTAATCCTTATATTTAAAGTATTTTTATCTATAATTTTATTCTTATAAATATTTTTTGAACGCTTAACAATTCGGTGATGTGAACATTCACATTTTACAGTGTAAATGTTCACATTACGGAACATTATTATTAAAGGTATTTTGTAACTATTTCATCTATAAGACTTATTGAAATATAAAAAATTAATTTGATTTAAGTGAATTACAAATAAGTGAAGAAAAATTTATAAATAAATGCCCCACATATTAACGATGAAAATAATTTAAGAAAATGACATGGTAATATTCGACACGAAATCGTCAATCTTAAACGTGTGTCTTTTTTATTTTAAAACGCTCATAAAAGTTGAATTATGTCTTAATATTTTTTATCTTTGAAATTACAAATATTTCATGCATCAATTAATAAATCTTTTTTTTATATGGTCTTATTAAATTAATGACAATTATGTTGGTTCTAAGGATATTATTTTTAACGCTTTAGTAGATAAAGACAATATGTTTCTTGTAGAGACTGAAGATGAGCCTTTGTTTGAACTAACTCTTGAAATTAGGCAAAGAATAGCGTGAGGTTGTTTTGTTGAACGGTTATACTATTTGGGAAAATTACACATTTGTGACTTTTTGACAAAATATTTACAGATTAGTAGAAAAGTTTATGAATTTAATTATTAATATTTATAAAAATTTATTACTAATTTGTAATTACTTTTTAAAATATCCACAAATGTAATATTTTCCTTTTAAAAATAACAACAATCCAACTGGACCGGCTTAACGCGTGAGTCTCCAGGCCATGCCGATCCCTCACACGATGGCCTAATTTAAGTTTAAAATCAATTCAATCAAGGAGAAAGCTGACTGAACCCATGATAGGTTTTGCCAATAAAAAATTTCTCCTTTTAAAAAATTATATAAAAATAAAAATAAAAATAAATAGGAAGATAAAAGAAGAAACGAAAAAGAGAGAGAGATGAGGAAAAAATTGATCCGAGTGTGGGATAGAAAAAGAGACCCTCATTCTTGAAACGAGTAAGATGAAAAATAGAGGTGTCATTTGGTATGAAAGTTGGGTTCATTTTTTGGCTAAATTAATTATTAAAAAATAAAATAGATTAAAAATTTAATAAAATAAAATATTACATTTAAATCATAATTATTTTATTATTTCTCTTACAAAAGTCAAAAAATCAAAAAGTTCATTCCAAACGAAACTTTTTAGTCATAGATTAAAACTAAAAAGTTAAAAAATCAACTCATATTCCAAACGAAGACTTTGTTAAAGATGAAGTTTGAGTAGAATAAAAACAAAGAAAGGATTGAGTATTTATACCTTTTTATGAGGCTTTTTGTTAAGTTATTTATTTGTGTCTTGTTATTTATTTATTTTTAATATTGATTATTGAATTCCTAGATTTATTTTGTTATTAGACTATCATTATTTAATTGGATGTAATTATATTTATAAAATATTATTTTGTTAATGGGAGTAATTACTCCCACCATCCATTGATGCCTCACTAGTGGTTTCTAATTGAATGCTTGTGAAGTAAAGTTGGTTGTCTTCATTGTCGACACATCCACTGCGTTTGATACGTCAGCATATGCTCTTACATCATTAACTCATTATAGCAAAAACCTCATATATTATTAAAAATAATATATATATTTTTATTTTTCTAAGAGAATACTTTTTGATATTTTAAAAATATTTGTTTGTGTGTTTCCTTTTTTTTTTTTTTTTTTTTTTTTTTTTTTTTGTT